TCTATTCATTCCTGGAAATCCACACCACACTCATTGATTTCCAAGGACCCTCTTAGATGTTCAGTCTTTCTGGCAGGACCTTGGGCTTGGGATAGCAGTTAGGCGCTGTGGTCATAAGGAGGAAGCGACAGAAGTGGGCTTTGGAGGAGCTGATACCCAAGAACCCCACTTCCCTTTGGTTCTTCTCCCATTTCCCTTCCCAGCTTTCCTGTGAGGTGCTGCCCTATGAGCTGGCAGCTACTCTGAGAGCCTCCATGCTTTGTGCACTTGGGCAATCCCCTTCCCTGGACCTCTGTTTCCTGACCTGTAAGATGGGGTAATAGGAAGTACAAGGCTGGATTGTGGCAATGAGCAGACTGCGCTGTGCTGTCTGGCATGGATCTGCCACATCCAGGTGGCCCCAGTGATGCTAAGCTCCCCAGGGAGTTTTTCATGGCTCTGCCGAGCCCATGCAGCCAGCACCCCGTCAATCCCGGCCACCCCTTGCACCCCTGAGTGCCTTGTAAGTGGTTTTAAGGACACCAGCTGCATTTGTGGGGAGTTGACAGGTGGTTTAATCAGAGACTGCAGTTTTTGTTTGAAGAACAAGGGAAGAGTCCAGAGGGAGGCCTGAGAATTTGCAAGGAAATACCAGTGGGCTGACTTTCTGTCTGTCAAAGATAGTCCTGCTGAAAGGGCTGCACAGCCTTACATGATCGGCTCCCAACTTTTCTTCTTGGAGCCAAGAGTCACACAGGCAACTTCCTCCCTCCTCTCCAGGTTCCCACTCCCAGTAGAACTTTTTGGAGTACCAACTCTTGGCTTCTGCAGTGTTGGGCTCTGTTGGGACTGGGCCAAATCTGGGGATGCCAAAGCCAGTCACTGACAAGACTTTTAGAAACTGACTTCAGTTACACAGGTGATACATGAATACAGTCTGCCCTTTAAAAATGAAAGAATTGCTGATAAAACCAAAGTCCCTTTAAGCACCACACTCAAGCCCATTCCCCACTCCCGCCCCTTCATGCCACTACCCCCTTCTGTGATAACCTCTGTAGGTCCCTGGTACAAAATAAATTGTATCTGCGGCGGGCACTATCCCTTACCCACCCAACAACCAGGGGACCGCTTTCTTCTGTGCCAACAGAAAGTGATATTCAAGTAGTAGGCAGAACTCTCTTGCTATAGGAAAGAGTAGATCCCTCTTCTAATTTCTAGAGAACGAATCACGACAGCTCTAAATGCATTTTGATAATCTCGCCCCTTTAACAGAATGGTCCAAAGATTGGCAGATGACCCAGCTCTTGCTAACGAGATGTAACTGGAATTCTCTGGGAAGGGCTTTTCCTTACCCAAGACCTAAAGCTTTGTAAAGAGAAAACCCTTTCATTTCTCTAATGGCAAGTGATGATGAGCTTTTCTTTCATATGTTTGTTGGTTGCATAAATGTCTTCTTTTGAAAAGTGTCTGTGAATATCCTTTGGCCACTTTTTGATGGGGTTGTTAGTTTTTTTCTTGTAAATTTAATTAAGTTCCTTGTAGATTCTGGATATTAGCCCTTTGTCAGATGGATGGATTGCAAAAATTTTCTCCCATTCTGTAGGTTGCCTGTTCACTCTGATGATAACTTCTTTTGATGTGCAGAAACTCTTTAGTTTAATTAGATCTCATTTGTCTATTTTGCCTTTTGTTGCCATTGCTTTTGGTGTCTTAGATGAAGTCTTTGCCTATGCCTGTGTCCTAAATGGTATTGCCTAGGTTTTCTTCTAGGGTTTTTATGGTTTGAGGTCTTACATTTAAGACTTTAATCCATCTGGAGTTAATTTTTATATAAGGGGCAAGGAAGGGATCCAGTTTCAGCTTTCTGCATATGGCTTCCAGTTTTCCCAACACCATTTATTGAATAAGGAATCCTTCCCCTAATGCTTATTTTTGTCAGGTTTGTCAAAGATCAGATGGTTGTAGCTGTGTGATGTTATTTCTGAGTCCTCTGTTCTGGTCTATTGGTCTATATATCTGTTTTGGTACTAGTACCATGCTGTTTTCGTTACTGTAGCCTAGAAATACCATTTGACCCAGCAATCCCATTACTGAGTATATACCCAAAGGATTATAAATAATTCTATTATAAAGACACACGCACACATATGTTTATTGCAGCACTGTTCACAATAACAAAGACTTAGAATCCCAAATGCCCATCAATGATAGAGTAAAGAAAGAAAATGTGGCACATATACACCATGGAACACTATGCAGCCATAAAAAAGGATGAGTTCATGTCCTTTGTAGGAACATGGATGAAGCTGGAAATCATCATTCTCAGCAAACTAACACAAGAACAGAAAACCAAACACCACATGTTCTCACTCGTAAGTGGGAGCTGAACAACGAGAACACATGGACACGGGGAGGGGACATCACACACCGGGGTGTGTTGGGAGTGGGGGCTAGGGGAGGGATAGCATTAGGAGAAATACCTAATGTGGATGACAGGTTGATGGGTGCAGCAAACCACCATGGCATGTGTATACCTATGTAACAAACCTGCGCATTCTGTACATGTACCCCAGAACTTAAAGTATAATTAGAGAGAAAACCCTTTCACCTTCTCCTTCATCCTGCATTGAATACAAATGTGATGTCTGGAGGAGCAGTAGTCATTTCCTGACCATGTAGCAACAGGCAAAAGAGAAAGGCCAGGGAATCACTGAGATGTACTAGAGAGCCGCTGACCCGATGTTAGCTATGCTACTTCCGGACTCCTTGTTATTTGCGAAAAATAAGTGCCTCTTCATTTATGCTACAGTTGGTTGGCTGTTTGGTTACTTAAAGAACAAAGGAATCCTGACTTGGGATTATATTATATCTATTTATACAGCAGTCACATCTTATCCAGCGGGGATGTGCTCCAAGATCCCCAGTGGATGCCTGAAACCGTGTCAAATCCTATATATGCTATGTTTTTTTCCTATACATCCATACCTATGATAAAGTTTAATGTATAAATTAATCACAGCAAGAGATTACTAGCAATAATTAACAATAAAATAGAACAATTATAACAATATACTACAATAAAAGTTACGTGAATGTATTCTCTCTCTCTCCCTCAGGATCTCTTTTTGTGCTGTACTCACCTACGTTCACACTGTAATTGACCATGAGTAGCTGAAGCTGCGGAAGGTGAAACCACAGAAAAGTGGGAACAACTGGATTTTTTTTCCATTCAACAGTGATTTCGAGATCTATCTATGCAGCTACAAAGGGAGCATCGTTTAACTAGTGAATTGTGCTTCATTGTGGAATAGGTCATGTTTCAACTAGCTAGTTCCTCCTAGGAATATTCTGCTTTCCATTTTTATTTTACCATCAATACTGTAATGAAAACCCTATACATGTGCTAGCGTTTCTTTAGGGTAGGTACTTAGAATGGGCTCCTAGAAGTGTGACTGCTGGGTTATGGGCTATGCCCATTTTCAGGTTTAGTAGATTACAGCAAAATGGCCATAGCAAAGTGGCTGTTCCAATTGATACTTCCAGTCAGGGGAGTGTGGGTCCCTACCCCACACCCTTGTCTACTTTTCTTTGACCACACTTAAATTTGTCCTTTTGCCAATCTGATGAAAATTGCTCTTGCGTTGAAATTTCCCTGGTTGCTAATGAAGGTGAGCTTGCTGTGTGTGTGTGTTGATCATTTGTGTCTCTTCACATTGTCTGCTCAGAGCACTTGCCTGCTTTTCTACTGTGTCATCTGTCCTTTACTCATTGACTTATGATTCCATATCTCTTGTGGGTCTGGTCCCTTTTTCTGTGTGTGTTTTGAGGCTCTTTATTAACATGTTGTTTGTCTTCCAATCCCAGCCCTGCAGCAGTGATCCCTGCTTACTCTAGATGACACAGAGCACATAAACAGCAGAGCTAGGACTCACAGCCAGGCCACCAGACATCAAGTTTCATTCTCTCTCTGTTAGGTTCTGCTGCTTCCCCAGTGTTCAGTTACAACGTAACAAAGTACCCGCATTTTTCTGAGAGGTAGTTTAATTATTTTTTCCTCTCTCTTCTTTTCTGTTTCCTCCTTTCCCCGACTTCTTACTCAGCCCTTTAGAAATGCAATCACAGCCTTTTACCTCCTCTTCACCAGACATCCCCTACAGGGCAAGTTCATCTGACTGCGTGCTTAGAAGCCCACCAGGAGGTTGCCTCAAGAGATAACAGTTGATTTAAAACCCAAACTATGCCCGCTGAAGTTTTGAGCTACCTTTCCAACTTACTTCCACCCGTGAACACACCAACCTGACTGCCTGGTAGATCAGGCACCGATGTGAGTGTGCTGACCCGGCACCTGCTCACTTCTGCTGTGGCGTAGCAGCCCCATCCCATCTTTGAAGCAGAGAGCATGCCCCTCACCCAACACTGATTCTACTGGCAGCTTGATCTCGGACTTCCCAGCCTCCAAAACTGTAAGCCATACATTTCGGTCATTTATAGATTACCCTGGCTGTGGTATTTTGTTATAACAGCCCAAATAGACTAAAACAGGCATGAAAAAAGAGTCATTATTTCCAGAGATTAACTTGGGTTCCCCAGGGAAGGAGGAAAAGGCACAAAGCCTCGTGTTTTGAGGGGCTCCTGTCTCTCTAGATCACAAGGATCTGGAAAGCGTCCTCATTGTCCACATCCCGTGACCCATTGAAGGTGGCTGCTTCGTTAGTTTCCAGAGGTCGCTGGCGGCAGTTCTCAGGGCAGTAGTTACTAATGTTCACTCTTCCTGCCTCCCCAGGAAGAGGAAGAAAGCCCACTTTCAGCAGGGCCCCTGGGAGATTTTAGGGCTCTCTCAGAGGCCCTGCATGAGAGTGGGCTTTGGTCTTCACAGCCTCAGCTTCCACAAACACCCTTCTTTTCCCAGCCTGGGGGTGAAGGAGGGGGTCTCTCCAAATCTGTTCCTCAACAAGTGCTCCCACCTTTTGCTCTGTCCTCCCCCAGTCCCTCCCCACTTCCCACCCCACAAGACAATCAGCACAATGACCTATTAAGAGCCTGGGCTTTGCAAACAAAAGCCCCAAACCTTATCCTCTGGGTGGCCAATGCCTTCTGCTTTGGGTGCTGCCACCCATTGCTGCCCATTGGGCCCCTCCGTGGCTTTTCCTCCTTGGCGTTGTTCGCAGTCCTCCCTGCCGAGATTAGGGCCAAGGCTCCAGCATCCACACCTCTGGAAACCCTTCCTTCTGCCTGTCCTCGGCCTCAGAGCTGCTGTGTGCAGAGACAGCAGGCTCACTGAGCTTTCTAAATTTCAAGCCTTCCCCACTGGAAAGTGAGGCTTCGGGTCTTCACCTCCCAGGAGGTCAGATGCCTGTAAGTGGAAGCTTTGGAACAAGAGCATGAAGGGTGAACTGCTACTCCTGAGCCCACCATGCTGCTTCTGTGCAGTGGGAGTTTTCTAGGTCAGCCTGACGGTCAGGGCCATCAGTGGCCTGGTGTCTGCTCCAGGATCAGACCCTAGTTCTTAGTCTTTCCTCTGCCCCCTCCCTTCCTTAATGTCCCAAGGATGCTGGAGTCTCTACAGTAGCTCCTGGCCTGACTCTGTCCTCAGAAGAGGGCCAGATTGGAAGTCTCACAGCCTGCTCCTGCAGGAAATCCTCCCACTGTCCCCATCTGCTGTTGGGTCTGGCTGGTTTCAAAGCCCCTCACACTCCAGCCTGACAACGCCTTCCACCTCATCTCTCTGGTGAAGCTCAGGTACCAGCCACACCAAACTTTCCCCCATTGCCAAGACATGTCATGTTCCTCTACACTTCCATGTCTTTTCAAAGCTGTTTCCTCTTCCCCAAATATCCTTCCAACTCATTGTGTCTACCTGTCAAGCTCCTATTCACCCTTCAGTACCTCAGTCCCCCTGAGATCCTGAGGTTATGACTGGGCCCAGTGTTAAAGTGTGCTGTGACTGATTAGTGATGTCTGCCGTGGGGGCAGGAGTTGGGAGACAGAGTCCGAGTCAATGGAGTGGTCATCCCTGTACCGAAGTGTGCCCACCCCCCGTTAGTCTCTCTTTCCTCAGTATCTCCAGATGTGTGTGTGGAATCATGGCCCTAGCCACATTGTATTTTACTATTTGTTGATTTATATGTAGACTTTAGGCTCAAGGGCAGAGACGGTGACATGTTCATCTTTGTACCTCTTTGGCACACAATAAATCTCAATACATGTTTATTGAAAGAAAGAGAAATATATAATTTTCCAAAACCCTCATGAAGTGAGTAATATTTTCTCCAGTTTTTGAAGGAGGAGAGTGAGTCTCATGGATTAAGCCATGTGTCCTACAACTTGAGGGTGGTAGGAACAAGATTTGGTTCTGGACAGCCCTGTCTCCAGAGCCAGACACTTGTGCAGAGTGCACTATTGCTTCTACAGGACAGCCTTTTGTGGACTTCAGGCCCATGGCATCTCCAGGCTTCTTTGCAGGTGGCAGACATGATGAATGTGCAGCTGGTCTTGATAGGCTATGTGATCCAAGATGAGTCACTTAACCTCTCTGGGCCAGCTTCCCCACAAGCAGAGCAGCAGTAACGATCTTTCATGGCCTTTCTCATGGGGCCTTGTATGGTTCATATCAGCTTGCAGGATGGGAGAGGGCTTTGAAGTCTGCAGAGCTAGATTCCCATGTGAGATTCTAGTTCATAAACACACAGAGCAGAGGCCCCACCAAGCCCAGACTCTATTTCCCCTCGAGGAAAGCCACCTCCTCCATACTTACCTGCCTGCCTTGGAAAGAAGCAGGCGAGTGGAGCTCAGCTAGTGGGGGCTGGCGGGCAGCCTCCCTCCCCAGCCTCCTTTCCCTTCATTATTGCACAAGTGTTGCCACATTGTGGGAGCAGTCTCAGGTCCCAGACACTCCAGAGGTTTCAACAGTAGCCTGAAGCCTGGTTATCTGGCAAGTGAGTGAGAAGGGAGAAGGTGCCAATTAGACATGCTCCGCCTTGTTAAGGCCAAGGAAGAAGAAAAAAAGCTGGAACTTTGACTGTTGGATGCAATTCTCTGCGCCAGGGGCCTTGGATCTACCTTGTAAAGAGTCATCTGCTTGAGTCCAGCCTCCCTGGAGGCCTCAAGGCTGGGCTGACTTATTCCAGAAAGGAGGGAGCAAACATGGCCACCTGCCCTGGTAGGTGACTGCCCAGCTGGGCAGAAATGCAAAGATGCATTCATTTATCTATCAAGGATTTATGGAATAGACAGTGGGTGCCAGGCTGTGTGTGGGGCACTGGGGACATGCATGCTCTTTGCACATAAACTGCTCCTGGCCCTTTGGCCTAATTCTCAAGATATTTGAGGAAGGAAGCACCCTCTGGCCCTATAGCTGCTCTCCATGCTTATATGGCTTAGGGAAAAACTCTGCACTTGGACTTGACTTCAGAACATGTTTCCCTCACCCAACTACAATCTTGTTTTTATTTACAATCTGTGCAGCCCTGTGAGGAAGGCATAGCAGGGGCTAGTCCCCACCTGGTAATAGTTGGAAACACTGGAGTGCTGGGTTCAAAGAGATCCTGAGGTTATGTCTGGGCTCAGTGTTAAAGCATGCTGTGGTTGATTAGTGATGTCTGCAAGGGAGGCGGGAGTGGAGAGGGATAATACAAGTGCAATGAAGGTCTCATCCCTGCACTAAAGTGTGCCCTCCTCAAGGGCACAGGTTGAGTCTTGTTCACTAATGTACACATGATGCCTGGCATGGCACCTGGTACAAAGTAGATGCTCAGTAACTATGCATTCTATATAAAAGAACAAAGAACAGTGAGAATGCTGAGACCCAGGGTGAGGAGTGGAACCTGTCCAAGGACACATGGTGAATCCAGGTCTCCTAACTACCACCCTCTGCTGTCTTGTCAAAGCCAACACTCTCCCCACCCCTGTACTTCCATCTCAGAGCAATGACTCAAAGTCTCTGTCATTCATTTGAAGCATGCCTTTGAAAACCAAAGTTGCAGGTGGCCCAGGCTATGAAAGAGTCTGGCTGGGAGAGAGGGTCACCATGCCCTCCTCTTTCAGAGTTGGGTACTAGGATTGCACATTGGCTCTGCTCTGGGCCAGAGTGGGACCAGAGATCTCAGAGTGGCCTCCCCCGCCCCTGAGCTCAGCATTCAGAAGGACTAGAGGAGGCAACGTCATTCTCCTGGGTGTGTGTGTGGCAGTGGAGGGGGTGCATGGGTAGGGGGGAGAGACAGTTCCGGGACACACTGCTGGCCCCTAGGCAGAAAGGAGCCAGACCCTCTCTTTGCACAGATCACCAAGAAATATTTCAGGTTGCATCCATTCCCAGATCTGGCCCAAACAATCCCAAAACAGAAAGTTCAAGGATTTCCAATAAGAATCCTTCCCAGCAGCCATGGGCAGAGTTATTCCCATCCCCCAAAAATCGTACTAATGAGCATCTCTTGATGGGATTCTTTCCTCCGGTCAAAGTGCTCTCATAACCACGCTCTTAGCATAAAGTGAATCATAGGATGTCTGTGCTTAAAGGGACCTTAGAGATCCTTGGAAACCGAGGCCCACAGAGGGAAAGTGACTTGCCCAAGCTCACACAGAGGTGGGCAGAGCTGGGCTGATTCCCGGCAGAGGTCCTTCACTCTCTTCACCGAAGTGGCCAGATGACATGCTGCAGGATTCAAGCCTCCCCCAGAAGGTGGGAACAGCAGGAATGTGTAACCAGAAACAGAGGAGGTTGGGGGAGAGAGTCTTAAGCTTGGGCCCAGGCCACTCAAGCATTTAATCCCAGGGTAATGCCTTGATGGCTGCCCCATCTGCCCCAGGTCCTGTCCATGCCACCCACTAACGATTTCTTATTCATTCATTTATTTTTAAATATTTTTGTGTTTGTTTTCCATTCTTTGTGTTTACAAGGAAAGCTACATAAACAATCCCAGAAAGAGGCCACCAGATCTGACCAGCTGCTTGGGTTCAAGGTCGAAGTCAATGTTTTTGGGAAATGGGTCTTTTCTCCTACCCTCCCCCTCCCCATCTGGCCCGAGTGGAGACCCCATTGTTTAGCATAACGCCAGGGCAGGAAGAACAGGGCAGGCACTGAGTGGTGTGCTTTATATGCACTGTGGTTCCCTGTCCCCAGAATAACCCAGGACTCCCATTTTGCCTATGGGGAAACTCACTTGCCGGAGATCACGTGGCCAGTCATTCAAACCCAGGAAGTTTCAGTTCTTGCTACTGTTCTAAAGGGGCCTCCAAAAATGGAGGTGGACTGCAGGGTGCAGGAGGAGACTGTGATGTGCGGGAAGGGTGGGAAGGGCAGGGCAGATGCCTCTTTTAAGGAAGGGTCTGCCGGCTGGAAACCACCCCCACCTCCCCATGCTGCTGGGGAAGACTGTGCAGTGCGTTTATGCAGTCAGACAAGAGCACACGTGCACACACGCACACACAGGTAAACACACACACAAACCCCTCATAGGCACCTCCGCCTGCTCACGCACACATCAGTGGAGCCCATTGCAACAACGCGGGAAGTGCCCTGCCAGGCCAAGTCCTCGGGATGCATTCTTCACCTGGAGACTTGAGCTGGGACCAGCTCGGCTGCAGCCCCTGGATGCTGGCCCAGGTTTCCTTGAAACCTCAGCCTGACTCCTCTGCCCCTGGCTTGGTTCTGGGTAGGAAGCGGCACTCATGTTATCAAGGCCAGGAAGCGTCTCGGTTGCCCTTTGCTTTGGCTTTTCTGTCTCAGGCTGTCCACTGGCCATGTGCAGGTGAGGAAACAAAAAGGCCACACCCACGCAGTGAATCCCTGATGGGCCCGGGCCCTGCAGAGATGGCTCCTTTAATCTTATCTCCAGACTTTCCTAGCATGAGATCCTCCCTGGCCTAGTTGAGAAGGATTAACAGAGACTCCCTCGCAGTGGGGATGAGATGGGGCCTCTGTGAATGTTTGCTGCATGAAAGAACAAATGAATGAATGAATGAATGAATGGGCTGATGAATGGTTTTGGAGTGAGTGAATGAGGCACAAGGAGGGAGGGGTGAATGAAGGAGGAGTAACACACCCAGGTTCTGCATGGCAAGCAATTCATTCAGTTGGAAACAAGAAGCCTGCCCTCATGGAGTTTGCATTTTCACACACACACACACACACACACACCCTATATATATATATATATTTTTTTTTAATGTAAAAACACAAAAAGGGTCCACAACAGGCTACACTCCACAGCATCTATGCAACTTTTTGGGAAGATTGCACTATCTCCTAACTGTCATCTGACCTAGGAGTAGACTCACTGCTCTTCTTTAATTTCCTATGGCACATCTGAGAGAAGACACGTTCAAACAAGGCTGAACTGTAGGCTTGGGGATAACACTAGGAAATAAACCCAGAGGCCAGCCTGGCCCTTCATCTGGGCTCCCAAGTTCCTGGCATTCACGCCCCTCTCGTTATTCAGGTGCCTGTGCAGACATCACTAGTTGACCTTGGTACTTTCTCACTGAGCCTAGAATCTTCAGAACTGTGCCCCAGGCAGCTACTGGCAGTCACTGGATGCAGACACATGAAATAAAGCCTATTTGCCCTGCCTGGGCTAGAGAATCCGGCTGTGGTGATGTTGCTAATGCATCCTCAGCTATGGAAGTTCATGGGGAAGGCTTCCCTACCTGCTCAGCCACAGAGGACCATGCAGGAAACAGGTACAGGTGGGGCTTGGTCAGTGGGTGAAGTGAGCTCCTGGCAAGGACTCCTCAGTCCAGGGACAGCAGCAGGGTTGCACCTGGGGATGTTAGAGATCCTCTTAATCAACACTCTTATTGTGTTCAAGAGCCTCAGAGAGGCCTGGTGACTTTCCCAAAACCACACAGTGAGTGTCTAAACCCAAAAGCCTAGACTTTCACAGCCCAGGGCCCAGGCTGACCCATGAGCGGGGCCCAGGAGAGGCCTCCAGCCTCCCGATCCTGTCCAGTGTCCTTCCATTGTTCCCCTCTGCCTTCTTTTTCCTGGCGTGTTCAGAGCTGGAAATGCTGCCATCTTGCTGGGACCTGCTGAACTTCCTCTGCCGGGGACCCCTTCAGCCTCACTCCTAGTTCTCCTAGTTTTGGAAACTCAAATTTTTCCAAGAGTTTTGCAGTAGAAGGGGTTAGGAGGTACAGGAAGCTCTCTCTCCCAGAGGGCAGCTCTGGAGCCACCAGGGGCACAGAGGCACGCCGTCTCAAGTACCCCAACCCATCTGCTGTGTTCTTCCCTGACCCGAGGAGTAAAAAATCTCCGTCCAAGTCTGAAGCTTCTAAAATGGTTCTTGGACAGTCCTGGAAGAGCTGGCAAACCTGCCTTCCTTGGAGCTTGGATGGAGTCAGATCTGGAAATAGCAGCTCTGATTTATTAAGTGGGGATATGGGCAGGCTGGGCATAGGGTAGGCCAGCTGGCACTTGGTTGATGTCACAGATGAGTAGTCAGGGGCCTGGGACAGTAGGAAGCTGAGCTCATGGTGGGGAGGTCCCTGGGTGCTGAGTGGGCTGGCCAGCAAGTGGGTGGGAAGGCTGAGGGCTAGACGGGAGGAGGCTTGCTGATGGGAGTGTGGGTGGAGACCAGAGATCACCAGGAAGGGCGTTGATGTGGGGTAGGCCAGGTGGTTGCAGGGGAGTAGGGTAAGTGTAGTGGGTCAGACTGGGAGTTGGGGAGCGCGCTGAGCGCTGGGTGGGCTGGGTATTGGCTGGGCGAGTTGGTGGTGGGATGGGAGACATGGGAGGCTGACAAGTTAGGGGTGTGGGTGTAACCAGCTATGGAGTGGCAGGATTGGGCCGGAGAGGGTCCATGCTCCACTCCATCTTCTTTTCGGCATTGGATACTTGACAGCTGCTGAGTCAAATGCCCCGCTCCTCCATCGCCTCCTTCAGGGGCAGACCAGCCTCCAGGCCTCCACAGCTCCCCACCCACCTATTAGCCTGTTCTGTGCTGAGGGAGTGGACCCAGGGCAGGACAGTAGATATTCAGAGCGGTGGTCAGGGCCCAACCTACTTGAGCCAGGCCAGAGTGACCTCTGGAGGCTTTCCAGAAACCTTTGGCAAGTCCCTTACCCTCTCATATTGCACAGGCCTAGCTGTTTGGGGAGGATGTGGAGCCGGGAGAGGACTCAGAGTAAGGGGAGGACTCAGAGGGTGGCTTTCCACAGGAGGGCATAATTGTGAGCCCCACAGAGCCAGTCTGACTGTGGGTTCCATGGCCCCATTGGGGAATGCAGGGCTGAGGCCTGGGACAGGGAGGACTGGGAGCAGGGGTGCAGCAGGGGAGTCCAAAAAGAGCCTTGAAGAAGCCACCGTGTAGATCCTTTACAAAAGAGTTCTGAGATGAATCGATGCTGGCATGGGCTTTTTAAAATTTTGTATTTCATTTTATTTTTAAGATAGGACCTTGCTCTGTCACCCAGGCTGGAGTGCAGTGGCGCTACGATAGCTCACTGCAGCCTGGGATTTCTGGGCTCAAGGGATCTTCCTGCATCTGCCTCCCTAGTAGCTAGGATTATGGGCACACACCGTCATACACAGCTAAGTTTTTTTATGTTTCTGTAGAAGACAGGATCTCACTATGTTAGCTAGGCTGATCTTGAACTCCTGGACAGGGCTCAGGTGATCCTCCCTCCTTGACCTCCCAAAGTGCTGGGATTACAGGTGTGAGCCACTGCGCCCAGCCTGGCATGGGCTTTGGTGCCATCCAGGAAGAGTCTGTGGAGACAAATAAGGACTCAACAGGTTCACAGTGCAGTTGTTGAACCACCTGAGTCCAGAGGCAGTCTGCGCAAGTGCTTAGGAACAAGGGCTGTGGCCCTAGCCTACTGATATCCAAACCCCTGGCTCTGTGACCTCAGGCAAAGCTCTTAACATCTCTGTGCCTTGTTTTCCTCATCCATCAAATGGGGATAACATGATGATCCCTACCTTATAGGGTTACGAGGAGTAAATATATTACTATGTGAGAGGCGCAAAGAAGAGCTCTTGCAAAGGGTAAGTGGTGCATGAATGAGCTGTTGTTGTGGTGACATTGTTCATATTATGAAGACAGACTGGCCAAGCACATCTCATTACCCAGCCACTTACCTGTGCTTGTCTCCAAAGTAACCGGTCTTTGTTTTAAAGGGGAGCCCCAGGGCCAGCCATGGGCGGCTTTGCTGTCATCAAGTCCTGCCACTGCAGATCCTCGAAAGCAATAGAAGTGCAGGAATGAATTTAGGTATTTCGGGCAGAGAGTATTTCTTCAGGCCCTCCTCTGTAGCAGGAACAGTGCCTCCATTCCCAATATCTACTTCAAATCAGGGGGCAGTGAGGGAGGGAGACAGAGAAGGATGGTGCTTAATGGAGGGGACTCTTCCTACCTTAGGAGAGGCTAAGGAAGAGAGAAGGCCCTGCCCCGGCCCCTGCAGGCATTCCAGGGAACCGGTGTGGGACCACAGGCACTGTGGATTGTCTGCAGAGGGAGATGAGAGGGCAGTTGGACGGCCTCATCACTGGGTTCTCTCACCTGCCAAGGCCTGGGCATCAGCTGTCCAGCCAAGAGCGCCCTCTATGGAAGGGGCTGGCCGCTGGAGAGGAAGCCTAGGCCATGCCAGTCTCCTTCCCAGGGCCAGGTCGGGGCCAAGGCCAGCTCTCAGGCCACAGCTGCTTTGCTGGCCCCCGCCCCAGGAACTGTCCAGTGCATAGTCACCCCGTCCGGGGCCCGTTGCTCACTCTCAAGTCCCACTCTGCTTCCAGCCACTTCCTTCTCCTGGTCTTGGCCTCTCTTCTGTTCCCAGCTTGGTCTCAGACACACCCTGGGTCATAATGAGCGTCCTCCAGGGCTTCTCAACAGAGGTATGTGTGTGTGATGGGGCAGCCAAGTCAGGGAGGGGCCTTGGATGGCATTGTTCCCTCCCTAAAACCAACTGTGGAACCCTGGACAAGTGAATTCACCTCTCTAGGCCTCCTTGACCTTGGGTCTAAAGTTATGGAGGGGCTGCTTTGGTTAAGAGGAGTGGGTTGGAAGAAGATATTAGTCGTGTCGAAAAAACAGTGGAATTGAGATGATTACTGGAGCCACAAAGCCACAGCTTTTATCTCCATTATTACCACAAACTCAGCCACTTCCCTGGCTGATGCAGCAGCCACACACCGCCTCTGCGCATGTGCCCAGTTCTGTGACTTAGAACCAGGGACTTCTAACCTGGAGCTTCTTCTTGGGTCTTAGTATCAAAGTCTAACTGAATTGGCAAAATTGGAGGAGCGGAAGGAAAAGCAGACTCTGTGTGTGTGTATGTGTGTGTGCGTGTGCGTGTGCATGTGCATGTGTTGGTGCATGCCTCTGTGTGTGACGTGTTGGTGTCTGCCTCTGTGTGCGTGTGTTTGTGCATACCTCTGTGTGTGTGTGTTAATGTGTGCTTCTGTGTGTGTGTGCATGTGTGTGTGCATGTGTGTGTGCATGTGTTGGTGCATGCCTCTGTGTGTGTGTGTGTGTGTGTGTGCATGTGTGCATGCCTGTGTGAGTGTGCATGTATTGGTGCGTGCCTCTGTGTGTGAGCGTGTGTGTATTGATGCATGCCTCTGTGTGTGTGCGAGTGTGTTTGTGTCGGTGCATGCCTCTGTGTGTGTGTGTGCATGTGTGCATGCCTGTGTGAGTGTGCATGTGTTGGTGCATGCCTCTGTGTGTGTGTGAGTGTGCGTGTGTTGATGCATGCCTCTGTGTGTGTGTGAGTGTGCGTGTGGTGGTGCATGCCTCTGTGTGAGTGTGTGTGTGTTTTTGCATGCCTCTCTGTATGTGTGCATGTATTGGTGCCTGTGTTTGTGCATGCCTGTGTGTGTGTGAGTGTGCGTGCTGCATGCACTCATGCATTTGTATTTGTATTTGGTCTCAAAGGCAGATCCCAGGGCTTTGGATTTATCTGTGTGTCCCATCCCCTTTGTAGCACCCAATCACTTGCATAATAACAAAGAGATGACAGGAACAGCCATTATTTATTTTACCTTTCCTTTGGGAAGATAAAGGAAGAGAAAAACAAGACTTTTTCTTGCAATTTTCCTGAGAAGAATCTCAGGCACAGAGAGATTGCGTGAGCTGTCTAAAGTCACCCAGTGAGTCAGAACTACATCTAGGCCTGAAAGCCAAATGTTTGGAGTCCCTGCTGGGCAGTTCCCAACAGAGGGTGGGGTTCAAATGTTGCTGTTGGCCCCCTCCCTGCAGCTCCCTCTCCTGCTCCTGGGCATCCCAGGGGCCATCTTCCTTCTCTGCTTCTCAGGGAGCCCTAGGAAGAGGGGTATTGGCCAGAAGGCTGGGGGCCGCTCTGTAACATCTGCAACAGGCTGCCCTGCAGGACCTCACAGAGCGGGAACGCTCCATACCCGCTTCCTGAGAAGGCTGATAGCCCTGACTGGTGACCTGGTCCCTTGAAAGGATAGCTGGTATCCCTGGAAGCCAGACCACAGTCCCCAGGGCAGGGCACCCAGGGGATCCTGGCCCCTTCCTTCCAGAAAAGGTCACACTCCTGCTACCCAGTGTGCTCTAGAGCAGTGGTCCCCAACCTTTGGCACCAGGAACCAGTTTCATGTAAGAGAATTTTTCCATCGACGGGATGGGGGTCGGGGGGTGATGGTTTTGGGATGAGACTGTTCCACCCCAGATCATCAGGCATTAGGTTCTCTCTGACCCTCAGTTGAGAGTCCTCTCCTCCGAAAACACAGTGCCCAGAAGGAGAGATGAGCCCCAGGCATGAGGGGAGACCACATTCAGTGCCTCAGTTTCCCTCTCTGGAAACAGAGCTGCTTTTTCTTGACGTTTTGCTGGTGGAGAGGCTGCATGTTCTGGAAATGACTCTCGGCAGAGCCCGGAGAGCTGTCGCTGTCTCCAACTGCACCCCAGCCACACTGCCTTTACTTCCTCTGACTTGCCAAGCTCTTGCCCACCTCGGGGCTTTGACCACGCTGTTCCGCGTGCCTGTAACTCCCTGTTCTTCTTCTCCTAGCTAAGTCCTGCTCATCCCTCAGGTGTCCCCATGGGAACAAGTGTCATGGAAAGACAAGGCCTGGAATGAGCCCCTGGCCCCAACGTGAGATGGGAGGGATGAGGAGGATGGGACAAAAGAGAGCAAGAAGAGAGTCTGGGAGGGCAGACCCCAGATCCAAGGGAAGGAGGCGGCCCAGACGGCAGGGAGAGCACTTGAACCTAGATATCCTGGATCCTCCATGACCACTGCCCCAGGCCAGAAGATGATCTTGAGGCCTGGGGCCAGCCTCGGGAGAGCGGGGCTGTGGCACCTCTCTGTGCCCGTCACACCCTGAACTCTACCTCTGGGCCTTTGTTCACCCTGTTCCTCCCTGGACTGCCACCCACCTTGTCTCTACTTGTAAACGCAGCCCACAGCTCAGGGCCAAACCCTGAGTTCCTCCGTTCCCAGTTACCCTGGCACAGCTGCCTCAGGCCAAGGCTGGCTGCCCTAGTCTGGCCTTTCTGTGGACAGGGACACAATTTCATTCAGCTCCTTATTCCCCCACTCCCCACCCCAGCAGGCCCTCTACTCCCTCCCCTCCACCACCGTCTCCCCGCCAACCTCAGGCCTGGCACAGAGCAGGTGTTGTGTTCATAGTTGCTGACCAGAATGAGAAGGTCATCGTCGCCCAGCTGAGCCGGGCTTGGGCTCTGATTCCTCAAGTGGCAGAGCCGTGCCCATGGCCCGAATGACCGGACAAGCTGGGGTCCAAAGAGAGGCGGGTCCTGGAGCTCTCTGCACTTGCCTCCCTTCCCTAAGTTCCCTCTGGAGGGAGAGTCTCACCATGAGCGTCTGCTCTTCCGCCCCGGCCGGGCTCACCGTGTCTCACTCTCAGTGCTCCTGGGGCCTTCCTGACTCTCCCCTTGCTCCTGTGGATTTCCATCGTTTTTTTTTGTTTGTTTGTTTTGTTTTGTTTGAGATGGAGTCTTGCTTTTGTTACCCAGGCTGGAGTGCAATAGCACAATGTCAGCTCACCACAACTTCCACCTCCCAAGTTCAAGCAATTCTCCTGCCTCAGCCTTCTGAGTAGCTGGAATCACAGGTATGCACCACCACACCCAGCTAATTTTGTATATTTAAGAGAGACAAGGCTTCTCCATGTTGGCCAGGCTGGTCTCAAACTCCTGACCTCAGGTGATCCACCTGCCTTGGCCTCCCAAAATGCTGGGATTACAGGCGTGAGCCACCGCACCCAGCCTGGATTTCCTTAACCATCATTGCAATGCTGTCATTCCCTTGTCCCAAGCACTCCATGGCTCCCAATGGCCTCTGTCTGGGGACACTCAGGCCCCGGGTATGCTGGCTCCGCCTGCCTCTCTGGCCGCACATGCTGGTGGCCTCCTGCGTGCTCTGCCGGCTCTCCCTCAGCTGTGCCATGGATTTGGGGGCCTCCTTCCTTCTGCACGAACTGAAGTTCCCTTTCTCCAATGAAGTCACCCACCCTTGTAGAGTCACTCAATGTCACCCACTCAGAGAAACCACCTCCCTCGGCCTCCAGGCATTTCTGTCCAGGTTCTACGGACACCTGTGTGAGGGGGCCTGGGGTTACACAAGCGCGTCCCTCTCTCCTGCCACTCTCAGGACGGCGACCTCATGTTCTTCCCCCGTGTCGGCGGCTTTGCCCCGGACCATGGCCGCTCTAGGCCTCAAAACATGCCCGTGGAGGGGGTGGGCCAGGGCCTGCTGCTCCAGGGGCTCAGAGCAGGGAAGGCCCCCCACTCCCATTCCTGGCAGGGTGGGGACTGGCTGGTGAGCATTCTCACAGGCTGTGGATGGCTGATGTCTGGCTGCTCTGGAGAGCCGGCTGAGTTGAGGAAAGGGGAGAGCTCAGAGCCTGGATGCCGGCAGTGGGTGAGGAGGCACAGAAAGTGAGGCTCCAGGTTCTGAGGATTCCACAGGTCTGGGGAGAAAAGGTGGGAGGCGGGGAACGCAGTGGCTAGGCCTGGTCATCATCCCAGCCAGGGCCCTGAGTGCAGTCTCCCAGTGGCCCCAGAGCTCCCCCACAGCACCCCCCACCACTACCACCACTGGCTCTGGGGTTCCCTGGCTCAGCCTGCAAGGCCCAGGATGGAGGGGGGGAGGGAGGGAGGGCACCAGGCAGGGACACTAATCCCAACTCCTTCTCCTGCCTGTGTAAACACATGACTTAAAGGCTTAGGAACAGAAAAATAAATAGCCC